ATAACTACTACAATTACTGTTACCTCCTCTGCTAGGAGTGGTGCTCTAGTCCCACCAATACCTGACAGTCACGACGTGTACTACTGCATCTTCTTCTGCTCAGTGGCATTTTTAGATGCAAAACAACAACTTTGAACTGATGCAAGACCAGAAAATGACACAGTTTTACACTTGGATCAAAATGCTGTTTGTTGGCTCCAGGCTCCATCACTGTGCAGCTCCTAGCGACCCCCCCGCAGACCCAGGCCTGCAGCACCACACCATCTGTGCAATCATATCATTACCCCACAGCAGAGCAGCTCTAACCTAATGAGGATGAGTCAGCCCACGGAGATGAAGATCCGGTGCAGGGGCAACAGCCTCTCTCTTTCAAAGTCAGTGAGACGAAGGAGAAGGTTCGTGACTTGAGAAGGACCTCTTCTCCTCAGTGGGGGCAGCCCTTAACCACACTTTCTTGCATTAGATGAGCTTTAATGGAATCTGAGACTCCTCAGGCCCTCCTGGCCAGCTGTGACAGATGTGACACAGAGAGCGTCCTGACCTGCTGCAGCTTCATCAGCTTCGTCAACAGCACAGATGTTACCATAAACACATTGCCTATGCTTTGCAAACAGGGGAACTACACATTATGTATGAAATACAGTGGTGACTAAATATACTGTGTCATCTGTTTGAAGACTGATACTTGATTAGAGTTGATTAAAGCTCCTTACATTCATTTTATTTGTTTGTTTGTTTGTTTTTCTGGATCTGTTTGGGAGGTCGGTTGATATTTCTGTGACTGCAACTAACTTTGTGGATTGATTTTACGAACATTTTTAATTAAATAAATTTAATTTGTTTAATTTCAATGTGCTTTAGTCATCTTTTTTATTAACTATTGAGTTTTATGTTTTTATTATTTCTTCACAGTGAAGAAAAATGATATATGATATTTCACTTGTGCTAAAATACATTCTCCCGTATATGAATCTGTCACCGAGGAAATATACTTCATGTGTGAGATTTCCTAAACATCATACAAAATTCACAAGCTCAAGCTTGAAACTTCAGATGTGAATCGTTAAATTAAACCTATAACTTTCCACATGTGATAACCATGTCATAAGTGGGAAGTGTTCCACGAGTCAGTAGGAGCAGTTTTTTTTTACCTCGAGATGAAGTTTGGATGGAAGTGAAGGGTCACAGCCGGAGGTCACTTAATATCAATGATCTGATGAGATCTGGGAGACATTGCACAACATTGGAACAATAAATAAGTAGTGTATACAAATGCTTGTCTAGCAGCTGTTTGCTGACTCAGACACAGCCTCTCAGTATTATTTGCAGCCTTTGCCAAACATGAACATTTCCTGACAAATGCTCACATTTGTACTGGAAATATTAGCAAACTGAGGACTCAATGAGAAACAATTAGCTCCCTCAGATCATTGAAATAATCACTTTTACTGAAGCTGCTCCTCCTCAGCTTCATGTATTGCACCTGTCACCTGTCAGCATCACAGTTGTACAGCTCCACAGGGAGCATTACATTTACAACACTAATGACTGGTAATGTACTGGATGGGAGACACTGTGTATGCTTTTTGCTATATGTGTGTCATTGCTGGAGGAAAGTAAATCAGGTGCTCGTAAGAAGCTTTTATATATTATCAAGGATCAGTCCTCAGACAGTGGGCAGATGATGAAATCAAGTCACAGAAACACTAGCAGCTGTGAACTCACCAGTCAGTTAATGTGGTTTTTAAAATTCTGTGTAAATTGTTTGCTTGCTGGAAAGTAGATGCATGTGGTGTTAGTGTCATCCCTGTGTGTTCAGAACAGAGGAAAGTCCATGATGTGTTTAGGGTCCCTGTGGAACCAGGGAGAAACTGCAGATTCCATCAAAAGAGAAAAACCTCACTATCCAACAGTGTTATTAAAAAGGAAAATAGCAACTGTTCTAATTTCTAAAAATCTTCTTCTAAAATCTTTCTTTTTACTGAGTATATTCTACCTCATCATTATTCTGTTAGACTTGCTGGGATTAATGAATGAATAAGCTACTTTAATGTGAACGTCCTGCTCCTACTGCTGTCACACCTGTCTAGCTTTGAGGAACCTCCTCAGCAGTGACTGAGAGCAACAGCACACTTACTTTTCCTTCTTCCCAGCCAATCACAGGCTTGTGCTGCTGTCCCTCGTATGAGTTTGACAGGCCTGCGCCGCGTCACAGATCTGGAGACCTGCAGAGAACTGAGGGATCTGGATGCATGCTAGGGAAGGGGGAAAAAGCCTTGTCAGGATCTTACCAATGATGATGGTGCAGCAGGGCTCACCTGTGGCTGCCCTGCACATGCTCAGTAGCTCCTAAGGTCACACACACACTGATGGCAGTACTGTCCCTGCTCTGGAGCAACTTGGCATTCAGTGTCTTGCCCAAGGACACTTTGGCATGTGGACTGGGAGAATGGGAATCAAACCACTGACCTTCCATTTGGGGATGACTGTTCTACCTCCACAGCTGCTCCACATACATACTCAAGTCAAGTGCCTCAACAACTTCTACTTTTGTTTAAACCAAATTTCCCAAAAAGCCCTTCAACAAAATAGTGTTAAAAGAATGTGAGTCCGCTTGTAACTTACCTGTGCACGGCAGAACTGACCCAGAGTACGCACCTGGTACAGCAGCATATGCTTCTTCGCCTGTATGCTGTAACGTGGAAGCAGACAAGCAGCACAGCAACAAGCTGTACTTGTTGATTACTTGTTTGAGTCCCAATGAAGGAATCAGGTTTTCTCCTGTGACATGATTAAATTAGCATGTGTTTTTTGTGTTTATACCAGTATGCACTGCTCAAATAAGCTCAACAAAACATTATTAATATTGAGTAAATCAGTGTCTTTTATTATGCCTGTGCTTTCACCACAGGTCTCTGGGTGTTATGAAGCTCATGATGTGCTGCCTTCAGGCGCCTTTTGCACCTTTTTAGTAGATGACTCTCAGGAGGTGTTCAGGCCAGAAGCAGCTCACAGACACATGATCCAGGAAACCTGATTACTGTTGTGGTTTTTTTTTTTTAAATTTTTGTCCTTTGTGAGATGTCATGTCACGACTGCTTGACCAGTCACCACTGACAGCACTGCCACTGACCCCTGAAAGCACCTGCAGCACTTTTAATTTCAGGAACTTTGTCCCCAAAAGCAGAACCGTAACTGCCGATACACCTATTGTTACAGTTTGTCATGTTAATGCAGAAAAGCTGTCTGGCCTTTGTTGATCCTGAACATGCATGAAACACAAATGCATTCCAATCAGTTGTAGGCATTTTAGTGCATAAACGTGGCCAGTTAGGCAGCGGAGAGACACTTTGCAAGCCGTCCATGATTGTAAGCATTCATCCCAAATCTGTTTCCTAGCTACGCTGTATTCTGGCTTCTGTCCTGCTCCTGTGGGTGCTTCCCTGTCTCTGATGGACTTGTCCCTGTGGGATTGTTACATCATTTGTACAAAACAGAGGCTCTAGAAAGAAGCTTTAATTCTGATGGGCTGAACCCAAAACCTGATGCTCAGTGTTTAGATTACAGAAACATTTTCTGCTATCAGATTTCAGTGAAACATCACCTCTTTCACATTTAGCCACTTGACCAAAGGAAGAGGAACAATGCACCAAACTATGACTGGAGAAAGAAACAGATCATCTTCAGTACCTCTTTTTTCTCAGCAGATTTTTGACTGTTTCTGTGTTTTAATTTTATCAAGCATTTCAACCCACATATGTTTTTAATCTCATCCTACACTGGGTTAATTTTAGATTTCTGGCCCATCCCCACTGAGAATGTTGACTCCAATCTGGGTAAGTGTAGTCTTTCTGAGCTCTGAGGCTCATTAACACAGCACTGCACTCGAGGGAATCCCCTGGAACCAGCAGCCCATATTGATCCCAACCCAGAACAGCTGAAATATAAATGAAGCATTTCCACCGTGGACTCCTTTGTGCACCCACAAACCTCCATTATCTAACAGCGTCTGCACAGTTTCTTTTCATTACAGTCAATATTTAGACTGTGGCATCACAGAAATGTTGTTTTAACTTATTAAGGGAAACCAGTGGTAGATTTATAGACAGTGTGAGATAAAAAGAAGAGTAGGCAGAAACTAAAAAATGCAATCAGAATTAAAATCAGTAAATGTTCTGTTGATCCACTGATTGATTACGTGACAAACTGCTTAGCTGTTTATGTGCATTTAAACAGTAGGAAAAACACAAAACATCTAAGACTAGTTAATAATTATGGCATTTACACAAGCAGAATGCATACAGCCACTATCTGAACCTCCATTCCCTGTAGAACAAATTAGGTTTTCTCTGTCCAGGCACATTATCCATAATTAAACTATTTTCACAGAAAAATATCCCCAACATAATTAGATCACAGAAAGAGAAAGAGAGAGAGAGAGAGAGAGGGAGATTTTAATTTGTATTTAGATGCTCTGGCAGCATAGGTCATCTACCATTTACGCCAATATAGAGGATTAGTGAAATGCACCAGAACAGAGACAGAGGCACAAAACCAAAAGTTGTTATTCTATATTTATATAAGGAGAGTCAATGACACACAAAAGACAATATATTTATCCTAATTTAGTCTGAAAATGACATATAGTGTGATGTAATATGTAATAAAATATGAGGACTACTTGGATGAATATCAATGCATGTTGCATAGGTGTGTATAGGTCATATAAACTTTGTTTAATGTTCACTGGTCTTGCATTATTTATATTTATTTATTTTTGCCATAAGTAAATTTTAAAACATATGAATTGTTAATTAAGCTTTTATTCTGGCAGTACAGATGTTTTCATCTGCCAGTAGTGCTGCAACAATCAGTGTTTGCTATTTTGCAGGCCAAAAAAATACTTTAAATAAGTACAGTGCCACATAATATGAATATAGCATGAGAAGGAGAGAGAGAGAGAGACTGAATGGAAAGGTAGAGCCACATAGGCTCAGAGTGAGGGGAGTGGAGGAGAGAGAGAGAGAGAGCGTCGCCATTACTGCCTGGCAGTGCTGCTGAGAGGGGAGGGAGCAGGGAGAACCAGGTTTCGGCTTACATCGCATACCACACTAACAGCACCAAAATACTCGTAAATACAGGCTTACCGGCCGTCTGGGACTGGGGGGGAGTACACTTTTAACTAAACCTGACTTTGGATTTTGTCCGAGGACTCTCAAGACCGCAAACTGTGGATTTAAAAACGGAGTTTTGGCCATTTAATGTGGGAATGCTTTCTGCTCATCTCCGTGGTATGTGGATCTGGGAGCGACCATGTTATTAGGTGGGTAGGGGAATGTATTTGGACTGGGATTGGGACTTCATTATCTTAGCTGGCACTTTTTCCCTGCCCGCAGGGTTGCTGTATCCTGGGTTAAAGGAAACCGGGGTGAGAATATGAGCCCGGGCTCTTAAATTAGCCCAGGTTGTGATTTTAACCCGCCTTTCTCCCAACGTTAGGCTTGGTTTGGTGTTGCTAACGCTAGCTAGCTAACTCTCCCTCACCCTTTCGGCACGCTAGGCTAACATAGCTCGGCTAATGTTCGCTAATGGGGATTGGAAAGGCGGATTATTTTCCTTCTTTCATGGAGTATTAGAGCCAAGTCAGGTCGGGCTGGGTTTCATTTCCTTCCCTCAGGATAAACTAATAACTGCCGTATCAAATCCCGTGGTTGTTAACGTGAACCACAGTGCACTGACGCATTAACATCTGCTGGTTCCAATTCAGGCTTAGGTAACACATTAACCGTAACTTCCATAATTTGCCCTCATTCCTCGGTTGTGCCCTTTTTTATAGAATAATGTTAGAGTTTTATGTTTTGTGACATCCACCCTTTTCACTTCTTACAAACACACCAATGATTTCAAACGGAAAATCTTCTAAATTACTCTGGAAATAAGCAGACGACGAGCGTCCGAGTTCGGAGCTGTAGGTTGTTATCGGGAATGTCAGCTCTTGTCCGAGTTCGTTTAGAAGTCGCTGGGTTGCTAGTTTTCAGTTGAATGTGCTGCTAGTCGCTAACATTAGCATAGGGATGGATGGGGGGTCAGCTCTACCACTGGGGAGATACCTGGGTTTTGCCGACATTAGCCAGGGTGATTTCTTCTCCAGTGTCTCAGCTGTGATGAGATTTCTCATTTGCTGCTTTTAAACTTTTTACGCAGTGTGTGACAGCAGTCACCGGGCAGGTCAGCTGGATCGTCCCGCGGCTGCAGCTCTGCGTGCCGTTTGCATCGAGCCGAACTGCTGCACCTCACTTTGCCCCTTTCCCAAACGCCTTAAAGGGTTAGTCCGGCTTTTATCCGATCACCCATCCAGATGGTTTGTCTCTAACCTTTTGCACTCCTCCCAGTGCAGGCTACTCCTCATGTAGAGTACGACCCAGTGCTGACTTACAGAGGTTGTTAACAGCATCAGTTGTTAGTGGAATCCACTTGTGTTGAGAAACAGGAATTGTTTCCACTCTGAGTCTCACTGAATGGCTCAGGAAGACTTTGCATTCACCGCTGTCATCACGGTCAGTTTGTTCAGGGATTTTCTCCCCAGCCTTTTCTCTTCAATGGGCTGTTGTTTGGAACAAAGCTCTTGATCAGTTTGCATCTGAATTTGGTTTAAGGCCATAAGAAAGATTCACAGTGGTGTTGAACTCATGCTAATATGGTGGGATATACACCATTTAAATTTACACTCCAAAAACCTGTTTCCAGTTTATCATTGTGGATTGTGTAGAATGATGAGGAAAAAATGGAATTGAATCCATTTGAAGATGAATCTGAAACGTAACAAAATGTGGAAAACTCAAAAGGGTCTGAAACTTTCTGTCCCGACTGTTCTCGACTGGCTTCTACAGACCACATGAGCGTGCTAGTGCTGACAGTCCCTGTGAGTGATGGCAGGGTTGTTCATGTTAGTTGGCCCATACATTGTTCTTACATTATAATCACTTCAGGAAAGAGGGACTCTCAGCTTCAGGTCTGGACCTGCCTCTGAAGCAGGGCAACATAGTTTATAAATGGGCTTTGACTCTTTTAAAACACCTCAGCTTCTCTCAAGGAAATGATTTTCCCAGAAGCACCAGTCCACTGCCCTTTTAATAAAAAGAATCAATGTAATCAAAGCTTTATTTTAATTGGCAGCAGTAAAGATGTTTGAAGTAGTTTCATAGTGAATACAAAAATATAGTTTGACAATAAGAGGTTGGAGAAAAGCCTAGCCTCGTACATAATTACCTTAAAATAAGATGGTTCACCTCTTATTACACACCTGAAGTAGACTATTTCTAGAGCAATTGTTTGGATTTTGGACCCATTTTGAGACTAACATTTCATAAACTTTTGGTAGTTTCTGTTATATTTTGTCGCTTTGTGCTGAGGTAGCTGAAATTTAAAACTGAGTTATGCAACTTTCTGCTTTGGCAGCTGAAAATGACAGTGACAAGTTGGTGTAAGTGGTTTAAAATTTGAAAACGAGTGGCCTGAAATCCTGAGAGGTGCAGTCAGTATGCTGTCACAGCCCAGGCCGGTCTGTCACGATTTATTTTAAGAGGACAGAAGAAAAGAAGTAATGTTAGGGGAGTTCAGTTTTCTCTGGCTAGAGAGCTCACTCTGGTTTTTAGGAGGAAGTTTGGATTTTGCTCATAAGTTTTGATTAATCTCTTCCTGTGGGAGAAGAGTTGTCTGTAGCTGAGATCAGAATTTCTTTTGGAGGAAACGTAGTGAGTCAGTGGTGCCTTATACACAGTAGATGCAGTGCTCTTCTCAGTTGAACCCTTGTTCTTTGATTTATGCTCATTTTAGGCTGGAAACCTAAAACTCCAGCCAGCTTTAAAAGGTTTACCCACCTTGGCAGTGTTCTGTTGTGTTTCAGGGCTTAACAGCATTTAGTCATCTCTAAAACCAGCTTGCCAAGTGATACCTTAATCTCCCCCTGCAGCCGCACTGTGAATGGACTAATCATGATGCACAAGGCTACTTTTAGCTGTTGGTGCAGCAAAATGCAGTTTGGGCTGTGGTGTTGGTTGTTTGCAGTAATAAAGCCATCGCAGGCTCCATTCAGCCAGTATAGATCTAACTGGCCAGCACTGCTACTGCTCCTCTCCTCATACATGTTTACTCATTTATTCATGAGACATATTGATCCTGTGTGTAGGCAGCAGAGTGAATATAGACTTTAAACTGGCCAAAAAAAAAAAACTCAAAGCAGAGGTTTGGATTCGGGTGACTGATCTTCTTAATCACTGGTTTAGACAAAAGTAAGGGGAGGAATATAGGGCAGTAATAACCAGTTGATTAAATGATTAATGGGAAATTAATAGAGACTAGATTTTGTATTTGATGGTTTTAGTTAGTTGCCATGTTTCCTGATTGCATTGTCAGAGATGTGAAGGAATGTCCCCTTGTTGACAGGTGGATATACATTTAACATTAGCGATTGTTTTGGCTGTTGAACTGTGCTAAGTTTGCCATTTTAAAATCTGTCTTGATGTGCAATCAATAGAAATAGAAGCATGAATATCTTGGTAGAGGATATTCCTGCCAGTATACAATAGGGCTGCACAATAAATAATTTTGTGAGCGTGATTCAGATCCCTGTGTGATCTCAGTCTCACATGACAATGATCAAAAATCAAGATCAAAGATTTTTATTGTCAATTCACCAAATGTACAGGACATACAGAAAATCGAAATACCGTTTCTCTCTCACCTAGTACCGAATGCTATACCATTTAGGAAACTAAAAATAGAATAAAAGTAGAGTAAAAATAGATTAAAAAGAATAAGAAAACTAAGTCAAAGTGATTAGGATAAAACTAAACGGTACAACCTAGTAGGCTATGACTGAATGGTAATGGACAGTGTTGAGCATCCTCACAGCCTGGAGGATGAAGCTGTTTGTAAGTCTGGTGGAGTGGGCCTGAAGACTGCGATACCTTCTCCCTGAAGGCAGGAGTCTGAAGTGGGAGTGTGCGGGGTGGGAGGTGTCATCAGCAACGCTGGCAATGATTCTGCCATGTTTGCGTTAGCATGAGATGCCTTGCATAAAACCAAGTGCTCCCTTTTCCTTGCTAAGCTGTTAACCAGTAACTGCAACTAATAACTGAAAAGTGATTTATTTCTGCCTGAACTGCCTTTTGGTGCTAGGTGTACAGGACAAGCAGCGCAATGTTTGAAAAATAGTCACAGGGCTTCACAGAGCCTCTTTCACAATGTCAGACATTTTGGATTTTTTTTTTTTATTGGTCTGTGATGCAATGCATGCCTGCTATTGGTTAACGCAGCGTTGGGGGGGCACTTGGCTTTATGCAAGGCTTCCTCCTGCTAATGCAAATACAGCAAAATTGTTGTCATATGAGACTGAGATCGCACAGGGATCTAAATCACGCTCACAAAACGATTTACTGTGCAGCCCAGGTGTACAGTGCCTTGCAAAAGTATTCATACCCCTTGAACGTTTCCACATTTTGTCATGTTACAACCACAAACTTAAATATATTTTATTGGGATTTTATGTGATAGACCAACACAAAATATCGCACAATAAGGATAAGGATAATCACCTTTATTGGCCAAATATGTTACACACAAGGAATTAGTTTCTGGTACAGAACCGATTGTGAAGTGGGAGGAAAATGATGCACGGTGTTCAAGATTTTTTTTGCAATTAAAAATCTGAAAAGTGTGACGCGTATGTGTTCAGCCCCCTTGAGTCAATACTTTGATTAAACACCTTTCGCTGCAATTACAGCTGCAAGTCTTTTGGGGTATGTCTCTACCAGCTTTGCACATCTAAAGACAGCAGTTTTTGCCCACGTTGTCCGGCTGGAACGTGAACCTCCGCCCCTGTCTCAAGTCTTTTGCAGCCTCTAACAGGTTTTCTTGCCCTGTTTTTAGTTCCATCCATCTTCCCATCAACTCTGACCAGCTTCCCTGTCCCTGCTGAAGGAAAGCATCCCCACAGCATGATGCTGCCACCACCACCTGATGCTGTTCAGGTTAATGTGCAGTGTTAGGTGTTCGCCACACATAGTGTTTTGCATGTAGACCAAGAAGTTCAATTTTGGTCTCATCTGACCAGAGCACCTTCTTCCACATGTTTGCTGTGTCCCCTACATGGCTTGTGGCAAACTGCAAATGGGACTTATTGCTTTCTTTCAACAATGGCTTTCTTCTTGCCACTCTTCCATAAAAGCTAGACCTGTGGAGTGCATGACTAATACTTGTCCTGTATAAAAGCCAGATTTGTGGAGTACATGACTAACAGTTGTCCTGTGGGCAGATTGTCCCACCTGAGCTGAGGATCTCTGCATCTCTTCCAGAGTTACCATGGTCCTCTTGGTTGCTTCTCTGATTAATGGTCTCCTTGTCCGGCCCGTCAGTTTAGGTGGACGGCCATGTCTTGGTAGGTTTGCAGTTGTGCCATACGCTTTCCATTTTCAGATGATGGATTGAACAGTGCTCTGTGAGATGTTCAAAGCTTGGGATATGTTTTTATAACCTAACCCTGCTTTAAACTTCTCCACAACTTTATTCCTTATCTGTCTGGTGTGTTCCTTAGTCTTCATGATGCTGTTTGTTCACTAATGTTCTCTAACAAACCTCTGAGGCCTTCACAGAACAGCTGGATTTATACTGAGACTGAGTTACACACAGGTGGACTCTATTTACTAATTAGGTGACTTCTGAAGGCAGTTGGTCGCACTGGATTTTATTTAGGGATATGAGAGTAAAGGGGGCTGAACACATATGCACGTCATACTTTTCAGATTTTTATGTGTAAAAAATCTTGAACACTACATATCATTTTCCTTCCACTTCACAATTATGTGATTCTTTGTGTTGGTCTATCACATAAAATCCCAATAAAATACATTTAGGTTTGTGGTTGTAACATGATAAAATGTGGAACAGTTCAAGGGGTATGAAAACTTTTGGAAAGCACTGTATATAGTATGCACGTGTAGTGCTTCACCTGTTCATAAGCTCAGATATACTTCACCTTGGCTGCCTGCTACAGTCAGGTGTGGCACGTGACAGAACACTATGTAATTTAGATGCTAATGGTTTGGCTTGTAAACCTGAAGGACCGGCTGGTCTGTTTGCTGTCTGACGTCACCAACATCCTGGGTGTGTTTGAGTAAATTTCCTCTAGTTTACTCTTACATGACACATGCATGAATTAGTAGTCCTATAAATATCATCCATTTTATAACTGTCACATCTGTTTTTCCTCCTAATTTTTGAGACATCTTAAACTGGTTTCCATCATGTTAAGTGTTGTGCTTGTGCCTGAAGGTTGCTGTAGACCTGGTGAACAGGTGACATCATCACCTTGGCCTCTATAAACAGTCAGGGGACACCTCATTGCTTTGTTTCAGTGGACTGAATTCCTATTCGGGTGCAGTTTCTCAGGCTCAGCGTGCCATCATGGTGCAGCTTGCAGTTCCAGCTTCATGCAGAGAAATTCACTGGCTGATTGCCATCGCTCTGTAAAACACAACAATGACTGCAATTCTCTCTGCATTTATCAGTTATCAGCCTCTAGTTAGGTCATGCTAGGGTTCAGACTTATTTGACTGTGACAATCCCAGATGATACTGGCATAAAGGTTGCACAGTCAGTCAGATACAGGCATTTGTTATACTTTTAAAATCTTTAGACAGGCATTTGTTATACTTTTAAAATCTAAAATCTTTAATAGCTGAATATTGGTATTGTCATTAGTGAAACATTTCATTTCAGCTGGTTGTTAATGTTGCATAGACAGGGTGCAGAGGGCAAAATAATTGTTTTGCAAATAATGAAGACTGCTAATCAGGAATAATAACCACAGCCAGGATGTCAGGAAGAACATATCACAAGAATGACAAAAATAATAAGGATGATATATAAGGCCCTAATCATGTAGCTGTAGGCTGTGCTGGTGATGATAGCAAATTTGTGAACTGATTTATTTTCTGTTTCATTCTCACAGAGAGGCAAATCATTTCTAGGTCAGTGGTTGTCAAAGGGCTGGAGTTGCATGGTGTTTTTATCCTGCCTTGGCACAAATTGGTTGAAAGCACTTCTTTTTCTCTGCGAGCGGAAAGAGACATTGCCGAGCACGATCCAGGATTGAAATACTGTTTCTTTCTGTTACATCAGTTGTACTGTCATACTGTGGTTTTTTTTTTATCTTCCTAAGAGCCCATTTTGCTATTACATTTTTACTTGGTTTGCATAGTGTAGACCTTTTCATCATGTTTTTATATTATAAGCTTGTTGTTGTAGTGTTTCAAGAGCATTAGATTTTATTAATAATACATGGAATACAGTCAAAAATACTGTATTAAGCTTTTATCATTTTTGCTATGAATGAATGTATCTAGTAGCAACAACAATAACTACCAAAATCACAGCACCCAAAGTAAAGATATGTATAAAAGTGTAAGACTAAAATACAAAAAAGGTATAACAATACAAAAAATAAGTATAAAAATATGAATATACAAAAAGAGATGTGTGTATATATAGAGTAACTGGTGCCAAGTATACAGTCTGCATAAGGTATACATAATAAAGTAAATGTGCATGAGGTAACTGTGTACAGTGCCAATATGTGCAAAGGTAAAAACAAGGGTAAACGCAGTATGCAGTGGGGTATAGTGTCGTAGTGAAGTGGAGTCAAAATATTATGGAGCTGAGAAGTGACATCACTACTCTCTGTGTCACATCCATTTATCCTCCTCATTTTTTGAGACGTGTTTTAAATCACTACCCTGTGCACGCATCTATGCACGTGTGTCCCAGAGGCATATGCAGAAGAACAAAAGCTAATTATATTATTTATGATAAGGAAGCTGAGGTGCTCTGAGGACAGTTCAGTGCAAATATGTTTTTGTTTCTTTTGGCTTTATCTTTTCCTAATTGTGAATTCCATGTCTTGCAGGCAGGTGATAAAAGGAGGAGCTGGCTGCTCTATCCCAGCTTAAAGAAGACCCAGGATAGAAACTGAGAGAGGTACAGATTTGGAGCGGGATTTGCCCCTACCAAGGAAAAATCGGAATGAAAGTGCCTCTGTGCCACTGACAAGCAGAACTGGAATGATATCTTGACTTTTTTCCCTGGAAGTGACAAAGTTAGCGATGAGCCGGGGGATATAATGGCCAAGAACAAGGATGCGCGCCCCCCAACATTCGCCGTCAGTGTGGTCGGCCTCTCTGGGACGGAGAAAGAGAAGGGAAACTGTGGCGTGGGCAAGTCCTGCCTGTGCAATCGCTATATGCGTCCTGATGCAGACAACTACTATTCAGAGCATACCTCCGTGCTGAGCACAATAGACTTTGGTGGACGCGTGGTTAACAATGACCACTTTTTGTACTGGGGGGAGGTGTCCCAGCGAGGGGACGATGGGTTGGACTGTAAAATCCAAGTCATTGAACAAACAGAGTTCATTGATGACCAGACATTTCTTCCACATCGAAGTACGAATCTGCAGCCTTACACCAAACGGGCGGCAGCAACTAAGCTCCAGTCTGCAGAGAAGCTTATGTACATCTGCACGGACCAGCTGGGCCTGGAGCAGGACTTTGACCAGAAGCAGATGCCTGATGGGAAGCTGAACATTGATGGCTTTGTGCTCTGCATTGATGTTAGCAAAGGTTGCAATAGAACATTTGATGACCAAATGAAGTTTGTCAACAGCCTCTATTCTCAGATTGTTAAGTCAAAGAAGCCTATCGTTGTTGCTGCCACAAAATGTGATGAGTGTGTGGACCAGCACCTGAGGGACCTGCAGACCTTTGTTGCCAGCAAGAAGAACCTGCTGCTAATTGAGACGTCGGCACGCTCCAATGTCAACGTGGAGCTCTGCTTCAATGCGCTCATCCAGCAGCTAGATAAAACCAGGGGGAAGCCAAAAACTGTGTCATACCTTGAGGCCTATAAAATCCAACGGCAGCTTGTTGCCTCAGTAACAGATAGATTTGACAAACTGATGGTGAACACAGTGAGAGACTATCATATCACGTGGAAAACAGTGATGAATAATATGAAAGGCCAGCCTGACTATGACGACTTCATCACCTTGGAGGGCTCCAGGAAAGCACGCAATATGTTCACAAAGCACATTACACAACTGAAGCAGGAACACATTAAGAGGAGGAGGGAAGAGTACCTGACAACACTACCGAAAACCCTTAACAACATTCTCAATAACCTGGAAGAAGTTGAACACCTCACATGGCCTGAGGCGCAGAGTGTTATTCGGAACCGGCCTGATTTCCATTACTGGTTTGTGGTTCTGGAACATACGCCATGGGATGAGAGCGACCACATTGACAACAGCGACCGCAGGATACCCTTTGACCTGCTTGATACGCCTGATGGTGAGAGAATTTACCACAACCATGTTCAGCACTTGCTGTCAGAGAAGAGGAGGGTGGAGATGAAAGAGAGGTTCAAGAAGACGCTGGAGAGGGTTCATTTTATCAGTCCAGGGCAGCCGTGGGAGGAAGTCATGTGCTTTGTCATGGAGGATGAGGCCTACAAGTACATCACAGAATCAGATAGGAGGGATGTTTACTGTAGACACCAGCAGGAAATAGTTGAAAGGGCCAAAGAGGATTTTCAGGAAATGCTTTTCGAGCATGCTGAACTATTCTATGACTTGGACCTGAATGCCACCCCCAGCTGTGACAAGATGAGTGAAATTCACAGTGTGCTGAATGAGGAGCCTAGATACAGAGCACTGCAGAAACTTGCCCCAGATAGAGAATCCCTCCTCCTCAAGCACATTGGGTTTGTTTACCATCCCACCAAGGAGACATGCCTGAGTGGGCAGAACTGTGTGGATCTGAAAGTGGAGCAGGTTTTAGCAAATAGGCTGGTGCAGCTCGACCACGGACGCTCTAATCTGTACTATAACAGTGCCAACATCGATAAGATCAACCTCTGCCTTCTGGGAAAGGAAGGTCTCTCACAGGAACTAGCCAATGAGATCCGTGCTCAGTCCACAGATGATGAGTACACCCTGGATGGTAAAATTTATGAACTGGAGCTTCTTTCTGTGGACGTCAACTCCACACTGCTCTTCAGCCATACGTGGGTCAACACTTTCAAGCCACATGGGTGCTTTTGTGTTTTCAACTCCATAGAGTCCCTCAACTGTATTGGAGATTGCATAGGCAGGATCAGAGCAGAGATAGTACAAAGTAAGAGAGACAGGTTCGCGCAGCCACTGCCATTCATTCTCATCCTGGCAAATCAGAGGGACAGTGTTTGCAAAAATATACCTATCCTGAGGCACCAGGGCCAACAGTTGGCAAACAAGTTGCAGTGCACCTTTGTCGACATCCCCTCCGGGGCCTTTCCACGTAAATTCACAGAGTTCCAAATTAAGCAGGGTCTGCGAGCAGTGCTGGAGGGGCTGAAGCATAACTTTGATGTGTTGGCCCCACTGCCCTGTATCAAAGACATGTCAGAGACAGACCTTAGGATAGTCATGTGCGCCATGTGCTGGGATCCTTTCAGCGTTGACCTCATCCTCTCACCTTTCCTGGACTCACATTGCTGTAGCGCTGGACAGCCAGGCCAGAGCAACACACTGATACTGGACAAGATCATCGGCGACAGCAGGAGGAGGATCCAGGTCACTGTCCTCTCCTTCCACACCGCTATCGGTGTCCGGAAAGATGAATTGGTACACGGCTACATTTTGGTCTATTCTGCCAAACGCAAAGCTTCCATGGCGACTCTGCGGGCGTTCTTGGCTGAAGTTCAGGATGTGATCCCTGTCCAGATGGTGGCGATCACAGACAGCCAGGCAGACTTCTTTGAGAATGATGCCATCAAAGAGTTGATGACAGAGGGAGAGCACATTGCCACAGAGATTGCTGCCAAATTTACAGCACTTTATTCGCTGTCACAGTATCATCGACAGACAGAGGTTTTCACACCCTTCTTCAATGAGGTGCTGGAGAAGAAGTCAAGCATTGAGAGTTCCTTCCTGTTTGACAACTCAATGCGTGAGTGTACCACTGGTGCGAGTGAAGATGTATTCCCCACCTCACCCCACAGCCATTCCCCAGCCTACAACACCTATTACCCAGAGTCTGATGATGATAACGAGGCCCCCCCACCTTACAGTCCAATAGGTGATGATGTTCAGCTTCTCCCTACACCCAGTGAGCGGGCCAAGTACCGGATCGACCTAGAAGGCAATGAGTACCCAGTTCATAGCACACCTGTTGGAGAGCCTGAACGCAACCACAAAGTGCCTCCACCCGTCCGGCCCAAACCAGCGCTCTCCAAGCCAAACATCAAAAAGCTGGACCCCAATCTGCTCAAGACCATTGAGGCAGGCATGCGAAGTAACCGCAGGATGCCTCGAGGCCCAGTGGCTCACACTGAGGACGTAGAGGCATCAGACAACTATGCAGACCCTGTGGACACCTTGCTGAGGTCCAGGGGCTTCCACAACGATGACATATATGCTGTGCCTGATGACGCACACGGCCGTCTGGTCAAAATAAAAAACTCCTTTGGTGGGTTACATGATCCTCATGGAGGAGGAGAGGAAGAGAATGGATTTGACAGGAAGTCTCAGGTTGCACGGCGACCATCGAAATACAAACATCGTTCTAAAATTCTGTTCAGCAAGACAAAGGCGTACCAAAGACGATTCCACTCTGACAGCGAAGGGGAGGAGCCTGGTCTCACCACGCAGAAAAAGAAAAAGGGAAGAGCTCACCGGGGTAGTGAGGAGGACCCACTGTTGTCTCCTGCTGACCCCTGGAAGGGTGGGATAGATAACCCTGCCATCACCTCTGACCCCGAGCAGGAGGACAAGAAGATGAAGAAGAAGAAGACTCCCAAGATGCCAAAGGAACCGAAGAAGGTGAGTCCTATCTGTCATGAGCTTTGCTAAGTTTTAATGGGAGAATTTTAATGTGCTTGATAGAACGGCAAAAGACATAAAGAAGCAAAACACCAAAGACATTACAGTCTCCAGACACTGAGCCAAAGCTTTCTGTGTGTGTGTGTGTGTGTGTGTGTTTCTGTGTGTGTGTGTGTGCGTGTGAGAGAGAGAGACAGTTCATTGGATATGAGGGAGAGAGTGTTTGTGTGAATGAGAGCAGAAGAGACTGTGCATAGTACCATGTGAGCAGATGTGTGTGGGTGTGAGATATCAGCAGATTTCTGTTTTTAATAGGCTCAGGACTCATGGTGAGAATAAACTAATTTGATAATTCATTGATCAGCCCACTGCAGAAATATTTTATGAGCCCCTGCACCTCCTAGGCCCCGGACAAACAATAAAATTGCTTGTTAAAAGACGCACTGTTGAAGACGGGAGGTCTCTGTATAATCTCAGAGCACAGGTTGTATCTGTGATGGGATGCCCTCCTTCTTATCCTGCACAGCATCTCTAAAGGCCTGACCGAGGCTGCTGAGCTGTATAAACTAGAGCCACTTATCAGCTATACTCCATGACAAATACTGTAGACATATAATTATTGCAATTAAACAATCCTGTAAGCAAACGTGTACAAATAGAAAAAACATGTTGGCACAAATCAAACAGCATGTTTAAAATGCAGGTAGAAGTGCACACAGCATACAGTATGTGTACACACCCACACATAAGCACATCCATGCACCAGTATATCCTAACCCCTAACAGGTACAGCTGCATTAGAGACTGAAATATAAAATGGAGAAAAGAACTACTCCATTTTCAAAGGTAGAGCGAGGTGCTCAAAATGGATCCTCATTGTTTTCCTTTCTTAGCCAGTTTTTAATAAATCAAATTGTTAAAAGATTCTGCACATATAAAGCAGCAGCATCTGCTTTTGAACAAAATGCTTGTTGTCACTTGAAAAATGTAATGTACAAGAAATCGCGCTGTTGGCATTACTGCTGTTTAGCAGTTGCAGCGCTCAGCAGAATAATCACAGCATGACGGTTTGTCAGTTTCTCCCAGCTTGAATACAAATAAACATTTGGACTTTGACAAGCGCACGCATGTGAGCGAACACACTGGCACAAATCAGATAATACTGTGCAAATCAGTAGAGAAACAGCCGTCGGCACAACCTGGGCATTGTTGGAACATTCAAACTGTCTTCGATAATGAGAGAGGGAAGGAGAACCACAAGGTACAAAATGGAAGGTGTTAAGTCGCTGTCCTGGCCAATTAGAGACGAGTCCAAACGCTGTAGGCATGACAACACTTTGAAGAGCAGAGGAGTGTGGGAAATCAGAGCCACCTTGACACCTTGTTACTTGTTTGTTTGTTGTCTTCTTTCTTCTCATCTTCCTCCACATGATCCTCCTCCTGCTTTTTTCCGTTTCTTCCTTCATCCCACTGACTTTCTTTCTGATCTGTTTCCTGATTACCCTCCTCCTCCTCTTCTCTTCTGGTATGTTCTGCCTCCTCTTCACCCTTTCTCCTCCTTCATCTCTGCTCTCCCTTGTGTTTTTTGTCAATTCCCTCTTCTTCCGCTTCTTTCATCCTCTTCTATCTCTGAATTTTCTGTCTCCCTTCCCTCCCTGTTCATTATTATACCAATTGGCTTCGTTCTTCTTTTCCTGTCCCTTAATCTTGTCTTTTAACCTGCCTTTTCTTCATTTTTACTTTCCCTGTCACTTGTTCTTTCCCCCCTCTTTATCTTTATGTCCTAATTTTTCCTCCCTTCTTGTATTTTTTCTTCTATATTGTTTTTGTTTATCCCCCCTCAAATCGTGCTTCCCTCTTTTCTCTCCTTGTTCTGGTATCTCTTTCTCCTTCTTTCCTGTCTCTTTGCTCCCCACTCTTCCTGTTTCTCTTACAATATTTATTCCCGTTTCATCCTCCTCTTCCTTCATCTTGGTTTTTATCATCTCATGTTATCCCTCTTTTTTTATCATCCCCCCATTTTTAGCAGAAATCCTCCAAGCCCCCCAAGCCTCTGTACCCCCCAACCCGGAGAACCTGGGAAAGCAACTACTTTGGTGTTCCCCTGCAGAACCTGGTGACCCCAGAGCGACCCATCCCACTCTTTATTGAGAAATGTGTGGACTACATTGAGCATACGGGTGAGTCCTGCCTTTTCATCTGTTTCCTTCTTTGTCTTATATGCCCCAGGCTCTCGCTGATATTTTGAAATGCTTCCCTAGTGCACCTGCCTTTTTTTTTCTTTTAACTGGCAGATGCTTTGTAGTTATTTGCTGTGAATGTGCCTCTCATGTCTTTTCAAAAAAGCAATTGGGCGAGAGAGGCAGGGAATGAGGAGTTGGGGGATGATTTAAAATGGGAGGGGGAAGCACATAAATCTAAAATATAATAAGGTTAACTTCTGGGCTCTGATATCAAACATGTATAGTCTGGTCTGCCAGTCAGCACAAGTCACTTTCAATTCAATGTGCTTCTTTTTGGCACTGCATTTGATGCATTGCTAAAGCAAAACGTTAGTAATTACAAAAGATTACTGAGATCAAAAAACAGTTTGACGGGCGGTAGAGAGCTATACACAAGTACGTGCCATCTGTTAATCAACTGTACAGAAGAAAGGAGAAATGAAAATGTGGTGGTATGAGCAAGAAAGCAGTGCCTGGTGACTGCTGAAGTGTGTTTGGGTTAATAGAGCTTTGCTGTTATTCCAAAAATGGTCACCATGGCTTACTGTGTTTCTTTGTTTTATATGTTGGCAAATAGAATATATTTGATTTTAGACTGTTCAATGGACAAAACATTCAGTTATCCCTTGGGGACCTGGTCTGGACAACATGATTAACCGTAGGTCTACAACAAACAAGATATTAATTATTGTTCATTTGTCATTAAAAAATTACCAATTAATCAAATTTCCTATGAAATATGAAAACTCTGTGCAGGACTGGCAATCACAACAGTCATAGTTTTGTCAGACCAGTAGTCCGAACCCACAGATACTCGTTTCACTGTTATGAAACCCACAGAAGCAGGAACCTGAGAAATTCAAGCATTCTGCACTTTTCTGATAAGATGCTGAAATGATTAATTTATTATCAAAATTGGGGCAGATTACTTGCTTGTGTAATCGATTAATCAATCGTTCCAGCATTAATTGATTGATAAAGTATTTGCCAGATTTATCAATAATGAGAACAGTTGTCAGGCACAACCACAGCTGAATGAAACAATGTGAGCTTTCAGTAATACCCTTACTCTCTCCCATCAGCCAGCCTCAGGGTCAAAGGTTGCCACTTCATATCTCTAAACCATCTACAAGAGGTGGTGTTAGAGAGCTGTGAAAAACTCAACAAAATGAGCCTATCTTGGTTTGGGTGAATTATGTTAAATGTGGGTTGGGAATGCGATTGAGAAATTGTTTCCTCTACATCACAAACTGCTGTTGAAACACCCTCGAGTAAAGCATATCACCCCCATCAGCTTTCTGGAAACTTAGCCAGCTGCAGAAGTCAGCGGTTTTATCAGAAGAGCAGACACACTCGCAGGCTTCTTCTGGATAAAGAACAGTTTAAAATAAGCCAGGCGGCTTGTTTGGACCTGTAGCTCCAAGTGGTGATGCAGGCCTCCGCTTCATCCCAAGTATGTGCCTGGCTTCCTGCCCAGCTGTTGTGAAGATGGCCTCTCCCAAAGTCGAGAAATTCCAGTGAAGTCATGTTTCATGCCGATAGATATTTATACACTCTGTGGTGGACACTTTATCCACAGTGTTTCAGAGCATTTGAAGAGTGTTTGTTTTTTTATGGGCGACTGCAGTGACACCGGTCTCAGCCAGTCATTAAAGTCTCCACACATTCAACCACACATGGCATAAAAGTTCCCCTCTGCTTATCACGGACTGAAACCGATACCGAAAATGTTATTTTTCCTTCTGAGCTCTGAAATGAACATATTCAGTATTTGAATAGTCTGTTGCATAATGTATTTACACGTGGTCCAGTAAAAGCGCTTGTTGCTGAAAGACCTCAAAGTAGCTCTCACCACAGTCATATTGTTTAAAATATCTGAGGACATAATGGGCACATCACAGTTCCAGTAGCTGGATCCATGGTTCCCTCACTTATGATTTTGTCTTGTGTGTTAGTTGGAAAATGCAAGGAAAAAGTGTGAGGAGAGAGGAATCAAGGAAACGCGTCTCCTTCGATCCTTCATGTGAGGTGTCCAGTCACTTATAAATTTCTGATAAAGGGGTGCCCCAGTCGGTTACAGACTTTCAGAGTGAGGAATGATTAAACAAGGGAATTGTGATTTACCCAGTATCTTCAGAGGCGATTTGCTGGGGTCATTTTGGCTTAGTTTTTATTGTGCACCCAATTCAGGATCAGTTCTATTATTTATGGAAGTTGGAGAAGGGCTCATTTTTAGATCTTGTTTTGAGGACACTTGTTCTGTAATCATACCCACAGCAACTAAAAGAATGTAGGAGCCCCTCAGGCTGTCAGTAGAAAAATCTACTCAAATCCTCCCTCCTCCTGCACCTCCATTTTTGAAGCCAGATGTTTTGTTTGTACTTTTAAAAGAGGGAATTTCCTGTCTTCCTACCAGATTTCTCAATGAGTACGAGTTCAGTTCTTTTTTGAAGGTAGTGTTTGTGTCTGAGCTCTTTCTGTTCTGAGGCTGTTAAGTCCTGTCCTGAAAATCCTTCCCAATATGTTGGGATGTTCAGCTGGATCAACATGAGCCCGTTGGAGCCTGACAATCACATTTAGGATTAATCCCAGTGCTGTATGTGTTTGGATGTGCATGTGGGGGTAGACGCCTGTCAGTTGACAGCAGTGTATTGGAGGTTTCTTGGCCAGTGCTGTGAGACAATCCTTTGGGTTCATTTACCAGGTTTTTCCCTCCTTCTTTTTCTGGAATGTCTTACCAGACAAGCAAGAACATCTTTGCCCTTTTCTTTATAAAGCCTGTTGTTGTTTAAGGTGTTTACTCTCCAGACAGTTTAGGAACTACAACTTGGTGACACCTATCAGGTCGTTAGCTTGTTGGGAAGCCTAGGTAGGCGCTTAGTCTTCCTATGCAGCATGGTTGTTTTATTAGGGGTTTAATCTGTCTGTATAACATACTTCAGGTTATAGGTCAGGGGGTGGGTCCTGCTCCAAATGTAAAGAGACTTGACATGATTTGCTCAGTGCTTACAGAGACTCTCTCAATGAGAGAACTGGGCTCAAACCTTCTGCCCGCTCCAGAGCTGTTGCTGTGTCTGACCTCTGAGCAGGGGAGTAGGAAAGACACTCCACCAAAGGGAATCATTAAAGCATTGCTGTTCTGTTATCATTGTTCCACTGGACACCTGTCGCATTAATGATGTAAAGGTCAAAATGTTAAAACTGTTTAGTTTTTTGATTATTTGTGGACATTTTTTAAAATCTAAAATAATAAGGGGAGAGCAGAGTATAGTAAAACAGCCCTAGTGCACCTGCCTTTATTTTCAGGTACTTTAAATAATTCAGATACTTTCATAATTCATTAGTGTTAAATGTTTATTTAGGTTCAACAAATTTAATAAATTGTATTTTATCAGATCAGCCTTCCCCCTCTCCACTGATTGCCAGCCATGACTGACTGGTTATTGTCGTGCTGGGCAGAGGTGACTCAAAGTGCGGTCTAGCTGAGCGGACTTTGTTAGTCAGGCCTCGGCACTTTCTCCTTTACTGCCACACACCAATGTGTCCCTTCAAATATGACGATGTGATGCTGGTTCCTGCCTCTGTGTGGGTTTGGGCTCTTGGTTGGACAAAATGAACAATCTGAAGACATTTGCTTGGACTCTGTGAATTTGTCACAGTCATTTTTCTTCCATCTGTTGACATACACAGTTAATTGACTGATCAGAAAAGTAAGGAGCAAGCAGCTGTTTTCACTGATAGTGAATATATGGATTATTTCTTGATTACATGACTGGTCTTTGCCAGTGAATAGAGCTTGTGTTGCCATTTTACTTAACTTAACCCTGTAAAGCCCAACATATCAATAAATAGCCAGAACATTGTAATTTTTTGGAACTGAGATGTTTATTAAACCTTTTAACAAAATCCAAAATATAATTCATGATTTGAAATTCAAGATTCATGATTTTTATTTGCCATATATGCATAGACAGACAGTCCAGGCATATAGGAATAGAGGTGCCATATTATTTCGATTATTTCTATTTCTTTTGTATCACATTTGATACATGAGACATTTTTGGCGATTTTTTTTGTTTTTTTTTTTTTTTTTTTTTTTTTTGCTCAGAAACCTCACGTATCAAATATGATACAAATGGTTTTATAGGGTTTAACACTTAATCAGTTATTAAAATGATCTGTCTATATACAAATAGATTAAACAACTAATTGTTTCATGTCTACAAAATGCCCTGGGGCGGTGACTGTTGAATTTGTGTTGACTTTATTTTTTGGTCCTAGAGAGGCTTGGTAGACTCCAGGAGGTCAGACTTCTGCTTGGTTAAGTTTAACCACATGTAATAAGCTGCCAGTCGAAAGGCGCAGAGGTGATAATTTGCTATTTGTGGTGCCTGAGGTTTCAGACCATGAAGTGTGAGAGCAAAAGCTGTGACTTGGTGTGTTGTCAGACAGACTGAAAGTGTGGAGACCGTGATTCTGTGTAGGTGATAAGAGTGTTTTATGTTTGTCCACGCTTTCCAGCCTGGTGGATTTAATGCAGATCTCAGGCTTCAACTCCTCATGATGTTTTCCAGGAATCAGCTAATTAAGTGTGCATCTGTGTCAAGAGTTGTGTGTGTGCAGCATCAAAGAACTGTTAAAGAAACTCCTAAGATAAAGTGCTGCCATTAAAACAGGATGTGTGTTTTGTGCTCACTGCCTCTCTGCTTCCTATTAGAAGAGATCTGCTTGTCATTTTTAGTGTGTTCTAGTCACCATGTACAACTGAGAGGCGTCCCAGGGGCCTTGCAATCCCTCAAAGGCTTGTGGATTTTAGGAAACCCGTACAAAGCCTTCAAGGTTTTGATAAAAAAAATGTGTAGCTTTGGAAACGGTGTTGTAAATTCAACTCGGCATCCATCTTCACAAGCACCGACTCTGTGTGTGTGTGTGTGTGCACTTCAGATCAAACCCCAAAA